AATTCCAGGATAATGATTGGCTTCCTGTCCTCACGGTCACTAGTGTCGCCGTCTTTGTGCAGTGTGCTCAGAAGAACTACATTCTTGTTTTTCTTTGGGAGGTAGGAAACTAGAGTGGTGGTGGGTGTGAAGGCAAACTTTGAGGAGAAGACCTCTCTCTCCTTTGACCCAAGCAGTGCAGGTGGGAGCTCAGGCTTGTTCTTTCGAACTGTACCAACCATGGTGATCTTCCTCTTCAGGAGCTGCTGTCCGAGTTCATAAGAGTTGAAGAAATTGTGACATGTCACATTGTGACCCCTCAGTCCCTCTGTCACATCAAGCACAACTCGCAACCCCTGGTTCTTCTCTGGGCATCCACTGGTTGACTTCCCAGTATAGACTTGCATTTTCCAAGCATAGCTTGATTCGGAAGCCACCCATGACTTGATCCCATATTTTGCTGGCTTGCTGGGCATATACTGCTGGAAAGGACAACAACCTTTGGACAAAAGACATTAGCATCAGTGATTCGTATCAGTGTCACAGAAAACAGTCAAAGAAATCAATAGTGAAAATCACTTTTATTACAAATATGAAAACAGATTACCTCTAAATGGAACCAGTTGCTCATCCACTGTTACATCAGGCTCTGGATTGTAGAGGTAGGGTAACCGCTCCACCCACTTGTCCCATACCTCTCTTATGGCTGCAAGTTTGTCTGTCATACATCTTGCTGGTCTTGATTCACGGTCATCAAATCACATCAGTCTTGAGTAGGTGTGAAAGAGTTTGAGTGGCATTGTGGCTCGGAAAATTGGCCTTCCACTCTCTGCTTACTTCTGCTACTGATTGATCTGAGACACAACTAAAACTTTGTAACATTTTATGGTTTGTAAATAACTCTGTGACCTTGATTTCAACTCCATTTGCCTCACGGGTCATTTTGACCTGAAGACCATCTTTGTACCTTTTTTTGTACAGCTTACATGGAAATGAGACTAAAAGCAACACTGAACTTTTTCTATTGTCTGGGCCAATCTAGGAAAAGTCTTAAAATCTCAAGTTAAAAAAATTACATTTAGGGGATTTTGGGGGGGGGGGGGGGGGTTAACACAGTGGCGGGTCATTTTGACCCGAGGACAACAGGAGGGTTAACATATTTTGATCAAGACGATAAAAGCAAATTACAATTATAAAAGCATAGAAGTGTACATAACCAGCTACATGATGTACAAAAGCAAAACTTGCAAAACTAATTTTTTGATGTGCAGAAGTGACACAGTAATTTGAAGATTGAACAGGTAGTTTTAGGAATTTCAATTCTGTTCTGAGAGATGCACCCAAACTGAGAAAAGCTGTAAAATATTAATATTTAAATTCTCTTATTTTAAAATCCTTCAACTGTCATGGACCCAGTGACTTTAGTGCAAGTATTTTGGGGGTGAGAGTCAAGACGTCAAAGGAAAATATTAAATAATATCTCTGATGCCAAGCTTTATACTTTTAAGTATTACCAAAGTATTGAAACAAAAGCTAACATGTTCTTCAGAGATTTAACTTGCATGCATGAACATTTCACACTCAAAGTAATTCAAATTAATTATTGAACCAAACTTGGAAAAAGTTGCTTCTGCCATTAACAATAACTTTAAGCACATGTAGTCTAAAGTAGACCAGAAATATAATCTATGCAGCCGTTCCTACAGAAACATTAATGGAAGTGTTGCATCTGTGAAGATTAAATGTTCCGTATAGTAAAAATATATAGCTGCAGTGCATATACATAAACAGCATGGCTCAGAAACTACACATTTCTTTGTCAGTTGGTTAAAGTTAGCTAACTTCAGTTAAAACCGTGAAAGGGACTCACCTGTGATGTGTTGCCCTTCTCCTCCTGAACGTGCAAAAATAGCAGAAATTTGATTTCAAAGACAGTAGCAGCATCTTGACAAGGACCAGGCCTACTGGGCTCTCAGCACCCTAGTTAGCAACCTTAGTTAGCACAGTGACTTTACTGTGTTGAGTTCAGGACACCACTACAGGAACAGAGTTAAAAGAATCTTGCTGCTGATGCTGAAGGATCAAGCAGCAATGCAAACTAGATAATTATTTGTTTACATGACAAATAACAGTCTCCATTTACTGTAAACCCTGCTATTTATCACAATAACAAAATGAAAAACTCTCTAGACAAGGGGTCCCCAAACTACAGCCTGTGTCATTTGGTCTGGCAATGCTGGATCCGGCCTGCCTCCTCATACCAGAGAGCATTCAGTGTATTTTTTTCATATATTGTATTTTCTGGTTTGTGGATTTTTCTTCAACCACCAGGGGGCTCTTGAGCAGATGTTAAACTAACTTTCCCTCAAATATATACTAGTCAGTCCCAGTCACCGTTTCACTCACGGTTTTTTCCATTTCCATTCTGGGTAAAAATCTATCTAAAAGCGACCGCGAATGTGTCGTAGTCAGCAATACCCCACCCCCGTCGACAGTTTCAAAGACAGAACAGCACACCCCCCCCCCCCCCCCCCCCCCCCCCCCCCGTCACCCCCGTCCCCCCCGCCGACAATAAGTTTCTAAGGTATCTTTCTCCAAAAACTAAGACCGGCCCCCAAGCAGAGAAAGGAACAGCTATGTGGCCCTCGCAGGAAAAAGTTTGGGGACCCCTGCTCTAGACTATTCTCTACTAATAGCACAATATTTAAAACCAAGTGTGGGATTTGTGAAACTTCAATGATGGGTGACTTTACAACTTGTATGATTTTGGATAACACTAGAATTGTTCTTTATTGAAGTTTCACAAATCAGATAAAGGTTTTACAAACCCCACACTTGGTTTTAAATATTCTGATATGAGTTGAGAATAATCTAGTCCAGATTTGAAGAGTCTAGGTGTTGTAGTTTTTTAGCTAGAGTAAATTAAAGATGCTGATTGTAGTGAAAAATTAGGTGGAATTGCCCTTTAGCCATTTCCCAAATTGGAAGCAGCAATTGGAAACCAACTTCAGCTTCATTCAAGCAAGAGGGGCTAACATACAGTTCTCTTAATGTTAATGATCAAATACTCTCATAAGTGATGGTGGCGTTGGCTGTAGGAGTTTGCTTTGCAATCGGTGGATCGCCAGATCGATGCCTGGTCTACTGCTGAGATTTCAGTTTGGTGTATTAAAGGCATTATTAAAAAAGAAACCAGAATATCACACCAGCATTCTGTTCTTTGTAAAAAATTCTTTTGCAGTCTTGTTTACGCTTTTACATTGTAGATCTAAACATCAGCAAAATTTGTAATTTTGGCTGATTGCTACTGTTAAGTTTAGGGTAATTAACTGCTGGCAATATTACAATTTTTTAAGAACTTTACAATTACTTATATTTTTACACTATATTTCTGTATTTTCTACATTCGTGACTGTCACAATTATTTAGGATATATATTTATTCAGTTATGATAATGCCATGTATTTTCTACGGCAGTATAATGCTGTGAATATTCTGGTCAGTAACTGCTGGCATTTTACAATTTTTTACCGTAAATTTACTGACTTTCTTTGCAGTTTCGACTTACGGTAGTTCCATGTAATTTCTACGGTAATGCAATGTTTTTGGATACGACGACCAAAAACTGTTGGTCTTTTACCATTTCTTACCGTAAATTTACTGACTTTCTTTGCAGTTTCGACTTACGGTAGTTCCATGTAATTTCTACGGTAATGCAATGTTTTTGGATACGACGGTCAAAAACTGTTGGTCTTTTACCATTTCTTACCGTAAATTTACTGACTTTCTTTGCAGTTTCGACTTACGGTAGTTCCATGTAATTCTACGGTAATGCAACGTTTTTGGGTACGACGGTCAAAAACTGTTGGTCTTTTACCATTTCTTACCGTAAATTTACTGACTTTCTTTGCAGTTTCGACTTACGGTAGTTCCATGTAATTTCTACGGTAATGCAATGTTTTTGGATACGACGGTCAAAAACTGTTGGTCTTTTACCATTTCTTACCGTAAATTTACTGACTTTCTTTGCAGTTTCGACTTACGGTAGTTCCATGTAATTTCTACGGTAATGCAATGTTTTTGGATACGACGGTCAAAAACTGTTGGTTTTTTACCTTTTTTTACCGTAAATTTACTGACTTTTTTTACAGTGTAGCAGTGGAATGAGATATTGTGGCGGCGGATTATTTGGATTAGTTCTATGATCTTTAAAATTAATTAATCGTTAATATGATATATCATGTAAGTAAGTAGCATAGTATATATTTTACTTCAATACAGAATATGAGAAAACTGTTTTAATTCAAGCTATTATTGACTTAAAAAACAATGGGGGGAAAAAAACAATATAGTTCAATAATGTGATTTATATATACAATATTTACAGGATGAGTTTTTATATGGCACACACCTGACCAGGAAAAAGTGTAACTTTGATCTGGATCAATCTCCTCACTAGTCTAGTCTAGTCCATATGCAGACTGGGTTAAATGACGTGTGTCTTTATTTGGGCTTCAGTCTTACTGGCAATGCCTTCACAATAGAACTTTACTTTAAATCATCTGAGCCATCGATTTAGGAATGAATGTTTTGATCAGCCTCAACTGAGATCTTTTTCTACCAGGGAGAAAATTGTTCCTTTCTGTTTTTATAAGTACTACTATAGAATACTAACTTAAAGAATTGAACTTTAAGAGCTCTAGAAGAAAATTTCCAGCTTTAACTAGTGAAGGTAAAAACGAGGGTAAATCTGATCTCTAAATCTAATGAGCACAAGTTCCGAGAAGCTTCACATTCTAAAGTGTTAAAATAGCTCAGTTGAGAAGTGACAAATGCTTGGACCAGTTTTTCTGCATCACTGTGAGGCGTCGCCCACAGTCATTTAAGCAACTTTATGCAACAACTTGCTTGGTGTGTTTGTGTGACTAATCCTTTTCCATAAGAGGAGAGGATTGCTAATAATAATGCAGATGCTGTATGTTTATTTATATCTATTTCCTTTCCTGTCTTTTTGCCTTTAGGTAAAAGCAATAAGGAGGTGCTGGAAATTTTAACATCAGGGCATCGGTTGGGACAACCCAACCGCTGTCCACAGAATATTTACCGGATCATGTTAGACTGCTGGCATTCTGAGCCATCCAAAAGACCCTCGTTCCACGCTCTGCAGAGCCAGCTAGACTCCATATATGAACGGATTTATTACAAGACCGTAGAGGTGTAGAAGGAGACGGGGCCTGGCTGGAGAACTATGATCTTCCTCTGCTAAATGCAAGCCCAGAAAAAGGAAACAAATCTAAGGAATAAGGAAACAATAATGAATGCTGCTGCTCTTACTGTGTGGTATCTTAAAAAGGTTTGGAAAAAGACCGGTTTGTCAAAGGAAGATGAGGACCAAGAAGAACAACAAAAGCTGCCCAACATGGATGGAATGATGGAGACAGAAAGGAAGATAAACTTGGAAGGAAACTGAAGGTATATCAGAGGCTGAATGCAAGAAGCCGAAGAGAGGAGTCTTTAAATAAACTCATGTCTAAAAATAAAACTGAAGACTCGAGCCGCTCCTGGACCTGTTTTTAAATTCTACACTTTTATAGATTATAACTGAAAATGTCTTTATGTGCCATGTTGGAAATGTTACAGGCTTATAAGCCGTGGGGGTTAAGTTACCGATTTACTTCTGTTTTGGTCGCAAAACGTAGTGAATTTTAAGATTTGGTGCAATATATGAATGAAAGCTGGATGTTAAGACACATGTAGCTGATAAGTTTAATTAGTTTTTCACTTAAACACTTTTCCCTCTAGTGCTGAATATCTGGAAGAAAAGATTGGATGATAGTTTGGTTCAGAAGTACCTTTTTAAACTTCTTAAAAGAACAGATTCTGTTGTAATGTGGTGCCTCCAAAGGATGTTGCCTCTCATTAAATCAGACAGGATAACTGAATTTTACATCAGTGTCAAGAGTTGTTTTATATTAAGAGAGAGGAAAGTCTTTGCAGGAATAAACTTTAAAGCAAATCACTATTCTTCCTCTGTCAAGAGAATGCATTCTGGGTAATCAGTCAATATTTGGAGACTGACAAGCTAATAGGGTTTTAAATGTGTGCTTATTCGTTTTCAAGCTCACAGTATATACAATAGGGTTCACATTTTTTTTAGGAAGCTCAACTTTACATATATAAATTTGTCTTAGACCAGGAAACCCATCCAAGAATAACATTCTCCTCTTTTGGCTCTCATGTTGAATATCAAATATGGCTGCCAATTGTACACAACTTCACCACCGCTCCTGTTGTATCAGCTAACGTTTACATCTAGGGCCAAAAGTCTGTACAGGGTTATTTAATATGAAAATAGATCAACTTCAATATGGGATTCATGCAAGTCCTACAACTTTTTCACAATATGAAAATATTTTCTTATTATTCATCAAGACCTACCTAAATTTAAATGTCTATAGGTTGTTTTCAATCAAACCAAGTGAGATTCAGTAAAGAATCCCACTGTGAGTCCAGGCCCAATTACAACCCATCCAGTCTGAATAAAATCCATATTTTCACTTCTCTGTAGCTCATAAAATGGCAATAAGGGAGAACTCTATAGTTTCATGGTTGGGGAACGCAGCTCTTTTCAAATTTAAATCTGAAATCTGATTTAAAAGAGCGATCTTAGTTCAATCCAACGTATAACATCTTAGAAAATAGCATTATAATCAAGACAAAGTGTTCTCTACTAGTAAATTCAAGTATTCTAAGCTACGAATAGTCTGTTAAGAAAATGTATAATATTATGATATAAATGTATCATATTTTTCAAGAACCTTTATCATTTAAAAAAAAATTATTTTCAAGTTTGAAGCACACAAAGAGCCGTATATGCCCTGCCTGACATTTTATGAGCTACCGGGCTAATGGGTATGCATTCTTTATAACTGTCATTAGAGGAGACTATTATATCATAATCATTAAACCCTTTCTTCTTCATGCTTTTTGCAGAAGGTGAATGATCATACTGAAAACTTTACTTTAACCGTCAGCCTAGCTTGGCAAAATAATTTGGAGCAAAAGGAAGCAGCTAACATAACGCCGTCTAATGTTAGAAACCCTTCTTCCAAGGCATGCAGAGCTCACGCTTGGTGTTTCTAGTGTCATTTGGGTTACCTCCTTTGATTTTCTGCTTGTTGGCTTGCAAAACCTTTGTAGCACTAATATCTGATAACTGTTGCAGCCTTGATTGGTTGTTTTTCTACAACACTATGCTAAACTGGGCCGAGATCAAGTGACCCATGTCTTCCATGTGGTACTAGGATTATTATTTAATTCCTGCTAAATATGCACATAATGTTTACTGTTACTAAATTATTGCTTATAAGCTAATGAGCATGATGGCTTGCCAGCATCTTAATGTGTTCTATGTTAGCATGATAATTCATCATATATGTGTTATTTTTGGTACATGTATTGCTGCCCCTTAACACAATTTGTTAACCTGTTACACTCTGACCCTAAAGCCCATTTGATGGTAAACTAACGGACTGAAATATCTACTGTTCAGCTAAACGACTTATGTTCCAGTCCTGCTTTCAGTACAGACTTAAAATGTTCTTATTTTATTTTAATTTGTCCACTTCTTTGAGTTTCCTGGCTTCATGTGGATCCATTTTGTCTTGTCGCCAGAGCGTCTTTTAAACAGTTTACCCTTTTTCACAGGGATGTACTGTATGGCGGTTTGGCTACATGTCACATATCTGAAACATCTTAAAAAGAGCATTTTTAAAATGCTTTTTTTGTCAACACAAGATGCATTAAATGGTAAGTAAACCAGCGCTTGAAAAGCCACCGGAGCACAGTGCCATATGACCAGGCCTTAAGCTCTTTTAATGGGCCACACTGATGTCCAGTTACAACTACAGTGCCTATGTTTACAGTACAGACTGTACGCAGTTAACCAATGATATACGAACTACGCAAAGGATAGGATGGACCTTTGGACAAGAAAGACTAGCATGGCGGCACAGAAACGTTGTGTTGGGTTATCTTCATTTGAAGCACATGAAACTGTAATGTTGCAACTTGCAATGCAATTTGTGAATTAACCAATTTTGGTGTTTTTATGCATGAAATTTGCAGCAGATGAAGCCAAGTTCAGGAAACTTGAGCCATAATCACCAAATTATGAGTCAATGTTTGTATTTATGGCTGTTTGTGTTCAGGTACTAAATACAAATGATGCGAAAAAATAAAGTATTTTAAGTATTATTTTGCTTTTCAGTAGTTTTGTCCAATTTTTTTTTTTCACTTTTAGAGAAAAAATCTGACCTGAAACAACAGAAAATAAAAATGTGCGACAGTTTTATTCTATATATTTAGATACGAAGGCTTGATTCTGTATCTTCTATGTTCATATTAACAATGTTAAATCTTTGAATAACTGAGAATCATTTGAATCATTTACAGGTAGTAACGTGACATGAAAAGATGTTTTCTGAATTTATTTTCTACATTTTTGAGCTGCAATTTTGATATGTTTTCTAATAAGACTTCTTGATAACATAAAAAAATGACGAAGTAAAGTAGTACAATATGGAGGGTGGAGCTTACCTACCTGTCCTGTATTATAACTGTGTATTGTTACACAATAATAAAAGTGAGGGGAGGAAATGCAGAGAGGGTCCAAGGGTCGGGACTTGAACTTACAATCAGGGCATTGAAGACTGAGGCCTCTCTCTGTAGGTTGTACTATTTCCACCCCACAACCTGGTGTTTATATTTATTTACATTACGTAACGTTTTAGGCAACAACACTGCAATAATTACCAGTTACCATCAAGAAGCTTTTAGGAATACAACAAATTGGTATCATTAACCAAAAATATGAGGAAAAAATAAACTGATGTCCAGAAAAGTCTTTGCTGTACTCAAGGTTGTAACTTTGTAATGAAAGTTGTTGGGGGCGCTCTAAGGGTGGAGGCTGATGGACCTACAGTTACTCGACCCGAAAGCTTTAATTAGGTTTTTGTATTTTCCAAAAATGAGCTCAAACATATATGTGAATGCTTTCCTATTGTTGAGAACACAAGAGAACATAACACACTGCAATTTATATTTATAACTAGTTAGAGAGATGACTTTTGGTGCATTATATATATATATATATATATATATATATATATATATATATATATATATATATATATATATATATATATATATAGAGGGCCCAAAAACACTAATGTATAAAAAATAATAATAAAATAACAGCCGATTACGATGCCAAAATCGATATATCGTGCATCCCTAGAAGTACAATTTAATTTCCATCCATCAATCCAGAAAAATATGGATATGCTGCATTTTTTAATATAGCATAGCATATTTTTTTCTTGTAGACTTTCTAGTAATGAGATTTTAATGCATTGTTGCATATCCCAGTAAATCTGTTTCACCTTTAAATCTGCAGCTCTCCCTACTTCTCTCTGTGCTCTGTTTAAAAAGATTTATGAACCTCTTTACTAATAAATTTGAAGATATGTAGAAGCTCTGCAGTCTGATTCTGTCTGCACAATAAGAAAGCCTGTTAATTTGAACCTTTAACTGGGAGTCATGGTCCTCTGAGAAGACAAGCAGCCTTTTTTAACAGGTAAAGAAGAACACAACATTTAAACTATATTTTCTCAAGCTTCTTGCATTATAATACTAACTTGTATAAACTTATAATCTGTTGCTGTTTTTGTGGGAAAAAGCTCTGTATGTCTAACAAACAGATTTTCAGTGGCATCTCTATTTTTTTTTAACTTTTACTTAAACATTGAAGTAGCTGCTAGCTAATATTCAGTAAGTGCTGCTTTGTGTCTCTCATCCAACCACGTAGCTAGTCTGCACATAGAAACTAAAGGTGTTCCAAAATGAATCCCTGCAGAACTCCAAATGTTATAAAGCTGGGTCAGATGTGCATCAAATTATCCTTCAAAATTCCGCATGTCTTTTAGAAATGTAGGAGTGTTTAAAGTATCATCTTGAGATTTAATTAAGATTTAATCAAACACTTTACATAAATCTACAAAAATACCAAGCACATATTCATCATGACTCATCGCAGAGCCAATTTTCTGAACCAACTCTAACAAAGACATTCCTGTGGAATCACCTTTTCTAATGTCAGTGATTCACAGAAAATTTTTGATTATCTATTCTAAACCAGCCTTCCCAGAAGCAGCAAATAACTGAGACGCATAAAAAGATCTTTACAATCTCCAGATTTGAATCATGCATTGTTTTTTGGTAGACTAGAAAACCGAACAGCTGTCTTCTAAATGGAAGATTTACAGCATTAAAAATAACTGTTATAAAGGATTCTTGGTCCTTTGTTTCTCCATTCGGTTCTGTTAAAGTGAAAATCTAATAATAAAAAAGAGAAGTTGGAAACATTTGTTCAAAGACAGATTAGCTAAAATATTAACAGGTTGCAATCATACGCAAATAATCCACAGGCAGTAATGTATTGTTGTGTCCCAAGTTATATTTAGAACAAGTCGTTATTTGAATTATGTAGGCGGCGCAGGAGGAATAGCTGCTGTGTGATCTTCCAGATACTCCAGAGCAGTGCTGTGAAAAATTATTTCCATCAAACTGATTATTTTCAGTTTTTTTTTTGCAGTTATCTTTATTTCGACTGAAATATTTCAGATCATCCAAAAATAACATCAAAGATATCTGGTCTAACTGCAAAGTTATCTTTATAAATGATGAAAAATTTGGA